CTGTTAGACATGAATGTAATATATTTAGCAAGTGATAATGTGTGCTACAGAAAAATACACACAAGGGGAAAAGAGAGAAATTTCAGTGTCAGAGAGCAATTGAACATTTGGAACCGGGGAGACAATGGCCTTGATTTTCTTCCAGCACATGCTGGTGCAAAGGCTCGATCCTAAGCTTAGTAGAGAAAATGAAACCTGAACTACTTTTCAGAGACTTCAACAGTTGACTCAAACCCCAAAAGAATAACATCACCACTAAAATCAATAGATTTTTTTGAGGTTCAAACCCAGTAAAAGTGGGAAGAGAATCAGGTTTGGATAGTTAAGAAGATGAAGAGAGATTTCTCTGGCACTGGACCTAAAAAATGTACTTCGTATCTATGGTTTGGCTTGTTTGTGGTGGTTGTTGTACCCAAATTGCTTCCTTTCATGTTACTATGGTTCTGTTTTTATTTTTCTAGAAATCTAAAAGCTTTTGGCTGGCCCCAATTGATTTTTTGATTTGTCACAGTATTCTGTAGTTTTTAGCTACATAATATCAAAGTAAATAGTTCTCTGCTTAAATGTATTAAAATAACATTGTTATCTCCACAAATGAATCTGACTGGAGCCCATCTCCAGGGACTACCCTTGTAATGGCTTTCATTTGTGAAAGCATAGAAGAGAATAGAACGTGGGAGATCACGTTCAGCAAACCAGAGGATAACGATCTTATTCAAATGCTGGCAGAAAGCCACTAGGAATAACTTGCTCCAAAAGAAAATATATTTCCAAAGGAGCCTAGTTTTCAATAGGCAATTGAAATCCCTGCTCCTCCTTCGTTTGACAAAACTCAGTGTTTTCAGAGGTGTTTTGTGAATACTCACCACACTGCAGTAACATAAATGCATCTGCATTTTCTGTTGTAGGCTGACATGATTATAGAAGGATGTGCATTGACATTCGACTAGTGGCTAATTCAGTGCCTTCAAAAATGTGGGGTACAGTTTTCAAAAGTGACTAAGGATCCTAAATTGTACTGACTTTCTATACATCTTAAGTTCCTAAGTAATGTTTTTAATAGGATTTAGACACTTAAAGATACAGACAAGCCTAATGCAAGTCTAACTCGTTTCTTTTTTTAAGGGTTTGTGCAGTTCTGTATGTAAATGTTAAACCCTCTCCTTCAAGAGAATAGTTTCAGAGGCTACTAGCTACTTGTACTACATGCCAAAATAAGCAAATTTATCTTTTTGACTTAGATAAACTGTATCAATTGGATTTTCCATTTGAATGTATGATCTGCTTATACAATCAAAGTCTGCATCGTTGATCTCTGCTCCAATTCTGTGAGCTCCTTAATACAGAGTTCTCAATAATACAATAGAAGTTGCATATAGAAAATTGTAATGTATACAGTGGGGGAAAAAAGTATCACACAATCCACGTCTAGTAATGAATCTGCTAGGAAAATGTTGTTCCTGGTAACCGTAGCTGTCTAGTCATTGGAAGAATGCACACTAACTGTGTAGGAAGGGTGCCCTCAGTATCTGGCATAGTATTGACATAGTGTGAATGTTTTGCATTATGCTGACTCTTTTGTACTGTAGCAAGTCTTAACCACTGAGCCTTTAGCTGGCATCGGAGGTAGAAAGCTTGTCAAATTGAAAATTGGGTATTTGAAAACTTAGCATGGAGATGAGTTCTGTTCTCTCTGTTTAAATCAGCTGTGAAGGATGATTACAAAACACTCTCACCACAAGCCTTAGTTTTGCCCAAGCACACTGCAGAGAGATTTCTTCATCGGCCATCCCTCCTTACATTCTGTGTTACGGCTCCATCTGACAGGAGGCACAAGGATTATTCAGCCAACTTTTTTATGACAGGCATAGTGGGCAGCAAATAGTAGATCAACCCTTGGTGAGTTTTCTGCAGGCACCATGGCAAAGAAGTTTTAAGGAAGTTGTATTTGACGTGGGGTAATGAGGTAGCATTGGGGATGCCTATAGGAAGGTCTTTCCACATGTGAAAGACACCGTGGCAGAAATCATAGTAGTGTGTGAAGTACATTTGGAAGCCAGTATCCTGTGCCTATCCTCAGCCAAATTAGTGCCCCATTCGTCTCACTCATTATTTGTATCTTCTTGATACACTTGACCTTGTGATACTGAGAGACGACAGGTACGGTGTGGGTTAGACCTTAAGCATAGTTGAAATTAAGTCAAGTAGCTTGTGTTTGCTGCAAGGGAGAAGGGAAAACCAGTAGAGAGATGCAAAAACAGAGATGATGTGGTCCAGCCAGCAGACTAGGAAAATGATCTTTGCAGCTATATTGTGAATGACTGTGAGCAGGGCAAAGCTGCATTTCTCAAGACGATAAAAAGATGTTTCTATAATCGAGCCAGGAGATAAGAGCCTGAAAAGAGGGGTTTTTTTTAGCTATGTGGGTGGATAGGAATGGCTGTATCTTTGAAACAGATCTGGTGTTTAAATTTTAAGAAAGGATGTTTGAAAAATTAGAAGCAATTTAGAGAAAAGTTCCGGGAACCTGCCTTACATTGAGAGCCAAAAGGATCTCCATTCAGTTCATAAAACAGAAAGTTAAAAGACAGCGGAATTACTTTCTATAATTACCTAACTCCTACCATAATCCCCCTTGAGCAGAGGGTTCCTGCCTTAAGCAGAGGGTTGAATTAGATGGCCTCTTGAGGTTTCTTTAAACTTCCCATGATACATAAGAAGAAGAAATTAGAGCAGTCTTTTGTTTCGTAGCAAAAACATAACAAAGGGAACAGGGTTAAGCTATTTTTTCTCATGACGTTCCAGCAGCGGTAATGCACCATTAGTTGGGGAGCAGATGGCAAAAGAATTGCTCTGGTTATGTTTTGGCAGACTCCCCCAATGCTGGAGAGCCCCGAACTTGATGAAATAGAGCAGTAGGGCATCTGTAGCCTTTGGACAGCATGGAGTAAGCTTCTGTTCACCCCTCTCCCACCCAAGCTCAGGGGCTTCTCTGCTTTATTTTGCTCACCTTTGTTATGCATAGATCAGGGTAGGTTGTGAACCTGAGAAATTAAGCAGTTTGGGATACCTGCGAAACACTAACAGGCAGTGCCTCTTGTATTTGTGTTGAGGATGCAGTATCTAGGAGCTTTCCAATGATAGTCACCAGAGGGCACTGTAGACTTACTGTTGAAAAATCGGATGTGCGTGGGATTTGCTGACTGTATCAAATGAAGGGGGTGCTGATGTATATATGAATCTTAAAATGGAGAGGTAAACAACAAAAGTTTTTCTTTTCCCCTTTAAGTAGTCCAGATACTTATTCACTCTTCCAATTTCTAAAGTAACAGGCCTTCCCTAGGTGAGGGGCACTCTTCTATAGAGCACATCTCACACTGAGGAAGATCTAGTATTCAACAGACACTTGCCTTCCCTGGGAGCAGCAGTGTCTTGCTTCCAGATTAATAGTGTGAGACTAGGTGAGCACTATGGTTCTTCCTGACTTCCATGGGAATTGAGATTACTCTGGACTGAGCACTTGTTTAAAACACAGACCCCCCCTGGGACTTCTACTTTTAACAGTGGTAAGAGTTACAACAATAATGAAAGTCAGACATTTTGGAGATTTTTCTTCCTCGTGTTACTTGATCATTTATGGCTGAAGACTGTGCACTCTTGATTATCCTAGTGCCTGTTGGAAAGAATTTTAAAATGTGTCATGAACAACATGCATCCTGCTGACATATACAATTACAGTACAGTGTTCCTGAACACCGTGCTTAGTGATAGTGATACAACCGTATGACCTGACCTCGTGCTCTGTTCAGATGGAGAAGAGAACAGGACACTTCCAGTAATGGTTTTAGCATGTATTTACTAAAGTAACTTTAAACTTGAGGCAGAGAGGTAGCTTTAAATTAGTTTCATCAAAAGAGTGTTTCAATGAGGCAAAATACCTACTAGATAGACCCTTATTACTAATTGCTAACATATGCTGCTAAACCTTACTATACAATTCCAGCAACTGGCTGGCACTCAGAGCTCTCACTGACCTCAGTAGAAGTTCTTCCTGAGAGAGGATTGCTAGATTGTGCGAGGGAAAATCATCAGCAACAATTACACTCTGTGTGTGTGTGTGTGTGTGTGTGTGTGTGTGTGTGAGAGAGAGAGAGATGGACAAAAAATATGATTTATAACTCTGTGGGTGCATCTAGACGAGATGCTTAGTGCACAGTAGCTCATTACTATGGCACAGTAGCATTGCTGGGCATGAACTGTGATGCAATGCTACTGCCCAGTAGTAACGAGCTATCCACAGTAGTAACGAGCTACTACACAGTCAGCATCACCAGCCAACTGTGCCAGGATGCTACCGCGCAGTAATGTTGGTTACTACGCGGGCATTTAGTACTTGGTCATGCAAGTACTAAATGACTGTGCAGTAACAGCTGCGCAGTGGGCATCCCGTGTAGATGCACCCTGTAAATGAGTGGGATGGAGTAAATAAAATTTAAGTCAGTTTTAGCAGCCCAAGAGCAGTTCATAGGAGCAGAGAAGGGAGACATAGAACAAAATACAGAGTTGTTGGATATCGAAAGTACTTCTTTAAATTAGAAAACCCATTGGAGCTTTTTCCAGTAAAAGGCCAAAATCACCTGACCTCTGGCAATCAGGCTTTACAAACAGACAATCCTGAATTTATAGCAGCTATTCTGTGCATCACTGTGTTTGTTTAGAGATATACTCAATAAAATCACAGTAGCCAGGATGTTCTTTTTAGAAACAAAATAAAAGGCTGCATCCTAATGCCATAGTTAGGCACTTGAATAAGGGGCCTGTTTTTGCAAAGGACTGAACAGAGTTCAGTGAAAGTTGGACAAAATCTTGTGTGTCAAACTTTGCTTCCAGTCGAGCCTGGTGATTTTTCAGTTAAAACATTCCTAACCTGCAAGCGAATCCTGCAGATTAATCTGTATTCTTTCCTAATATCCTCTCCTTGTCCCCTCTCTTTTGTTCAGTGTCCAAGCAAAACCTATGACCCGCTTATAAAATCTACCCGAGATTTTCCAGATGATGTCATTAGTTTTATCAGACGTCATCCACTGATGTACAAGTCAGTTTACCCAGTGACTGGAGGACCTGTATTTACAAGGATCAGTGTCGACTACCGACTGACACAGATTGTGGTGGATCATGTTATGGCAGAAGATGGTCAATATGATGTTATATTCCTCGGAACAGGTATGTGAAAGCACTCTTGTTATATTTCTGCATGGGCAATAATGCTGAACAGTTAAAAAGGATGAGGAAGATCATTTGAGACCTTTTTCATTAAGAATTTTTCCATTAGTTTCACTGGGATCTGAATTAACCCCTTCATCATTGCCACATGGGTAACATCCAGAAGAGAAAAATAGGTGCTTAAAATGGGATGCAGGCAGGCTTTAGGCATCTCCCAATCAACAATTCAGACCACATCCATCCCCCCAGGTCAGCAGCTCTCTAACCCTGGAGGCACCTTAAACATCCTAGGAGCTTTCCAAGCTCCCTAGGTCTCTACATTGTATGTATGCTCTGAACTTCCCAGTCTGAGCAACCAGGTGCCTAGGTCCTACCTTCTCCCCACTAGGATCCAGGGTGAAGGAGGAGTAGCACCAGCATCCCCTGAAGGACACAATCCAGTAATAATTTGTGGAGCATAGCTCTCACACAGCAAGAGGACCAGCCACGTTCAGTTTTGCTGCCATGCCTTTCCGTGCATTTTATATTACAGATAAATAATTCTGACAGAATGGACCTTAAAACTGAAGTCTGAACTCCCAGTAAATGCACTGAATTACAGAGCTAGGTTTTTTACTTGGCTGTCGTCCTGGCCCCATGGACCTTGACTAACACCAGTACTAGCTTTCTGCTGAGCCTGGGATTACCACCAAAAACCAAGGCCCAATCAGTCATTCCTGGTCTGCATAGGCCCAATCCCAAGCAGTTTGACAGTAGAGAGAAATTAGGTACGTCCCAAATGCAAACCCCAATGCCATTCTCAGGCTCTTTTGAGACAGCATGGGGATGCTCTTGGGAGATATCCAAGTGGGTTACATTGCCTACTAGGGTTGTATAAAGCTTTGGTCCCTGATTTGATTCGGTGGGCATTTGGCCTGCTTTGGTGGCCGAATCGCCAAATCCGAATCAAATCAGAGGACCCTTTAATCTCTCTGAATTGATTCGGGGTGATTTGGACATAAAGACAGCTTTAATGTTTTTTCTACAAATATCTGGGTAGCAGGGGCTTGTGATCGCTGCAGTGCTGAGGCAGATGGAGCATCCCACAGAAGCATGGAGGGCTTGCTCTCCAGCGCGCTCGACAGCAGACCTAGAAGTGGACCAGAAGCACTTCTGGGCCTACCGGGGAGCATGCTGGGGGGGCAACTCGTGCCTCCTGGATCTAGGTGGGGGGCACCTGGAGTCCTCCTGCAGCTGACTGCCAGGCTGGGGAAGGGTATGTAGGGTCGGAAGGGACCTGAGCAGATCATCAAGTCCAACCCCCTGCCATGGCAGGAAAGGATGCTGGGGTCAAACGACCCCGGCTAGGTGATTATCTAGCCTCCTTTTGAAGACCCCCAGGGGAGGAGTGGGCACCACTTCCCTTGGAAGTTGGTTCCAGATCCTAGCCGCCCTGACTGTGAAGTAGTGCTTCCTGATGTCTAGCCTGAACCTACCCTCAGTCAACTTATGGCTGTTATTCCTTGTTACTCCCGGTAGTACTTGGGGGAACAGGGACTCTCCCATTCCCTGCTGGTCCCCTCTGATAAGTTTATAGATGGCCACCAGATACTCTCTCAGCCTTTTCTTGTGGAGGCTGAACAGGTTCAGGTCCCGTAGTCTCTCCTCGTAGGGTCTGCCCTGCTGTCCCCGGATCAAGCGAGTGGCCCTCCTCTGGACCCTCTCCATGTTGTCCACATCCCTCCTGAAGTGCGGCGCCCAGAACTGGATGCAGTACTCCAACTGCGGCCTAACCAGTGCCTCATAGAGGGGGAGGATCACCTCCTTGGACCTGCCCGTGATGCATCTGTGGATGCATGACAAGGTGCGGTTGTCCTTACTGACCGCATCCCCACATTGGCGGCCCATGTTCATCTTGGAGCCTATAATGACGCCAAGATCCTTTTCTGCCTCTGTGCTGACAAGAAGGGAGTTCCCCAGCCTGTAGGTATGCTGCTGGTTCTTTATCCCTAGGTGCAGTACCCTGCACTTGTCAGTATTGAATCCCATCCTATTCTCATCCACCCACCCCTGTAACCTGTCCAGATCTAGTTGTAGCCTGTCCAGATCTAGTTGTAGCCCTCTCTTCTAGCGTGCCCACTTCTCCCCACATCTTAGTGTCATCTGTGAATTTGAACAAGGTGCTTTTCACCCCCTCATCCAAGTCGCTGATGAAGATGTTGAACAATGCGGGCCTGAAGACTGAGCCATGGGGGACCCCACTGCCCACATCCCTCCAGGTCGAAAATGACCCATCCACCACCACTCTCCTGGTCTCAGCTATGCTATCATGGGCAAGAAAACAGAGAAAATCTGGTGGAATGCTTAGCCCTACAGAGCTATCAATTTGCTCCCTCCCCTAAGAAGTGATTTCATTAAAAAAATATCATGAAGTATCTTCTGTGAAAGCAGGATAAAGTGTGCTGGATTTTATTGCAAGAAAGGACTTTATTGTGGTGTGTTGTCATGTTACACATTGAATATAAAAAGCACTCTCTTAAAGCATGGAAGATCTTCACTGAACAAAGTCTTTTTGATAGGAATCAAAAGAAGAAAGTAACCACAACACTTTCAAAAAATAGCAAAAGCCTTAAGCTTTAAATGGTTTTGCTACAGCTGAAACCTATGCATGCTCACATCTGTTAGCAGGTTGAAAATGCCAGAAAAATATTAAAAGAAAAAATTTAACAAACATTCAAAAAAGTTAAATTTGAGGCCAAACACATCTCTGCTATAATTTCAGTTTAGTCTAGAAGTTGCCCTCAGGTTTTTGCTATTTGCCAGTACTATAGCTTCTCTTAAAAAATAAAGTTATCAAGAGATCAACAGTTACACTCCCATCAGGTTAGCTATTACTATATATTACAGGCCCCTAGTTCTTCAATATATTTTTTCTGTACTGTAGAGCTTTCAAATCAGGTAGTGAGCAAGCAGCCACCAGGTGGCAGTCCTCATTTGATCAGAAAAAAAATTATTAGCTGCAGTCTTGTTACTTAAAGTGGAGCTTTTTTTCCAAGCACATGTTTTTATTCCATTTTATATTTTAAATTTGTCCTGTGGAAAATCAGAGTGAAAGATAATATTTCAAAGATTATATAAAAATGCACCAATTACTCAGAAGGTTTTGGTCAGCAGTAGATTGGAAGCTTAAAATATGCTTGAATGCATTCAGCACTCGTGGAGAATTTAGAAATGCTTCCTATTATGTACATATTTTGTAACATCAGCCTGTTGTAGCTCCACATTCTTTGCTAATTGTGCTGAAATTATTAACAGGAAGGCAGTGATGTTATCTGAACTTTGTGTCAGTAATGTCATCTTCTGCAGTTTGGAAAACCAAGAACCCTGAAATAATTCTTTACTTTCAAATCCATTCTCTCTCTTTGCGATACTACACAAAATATTTATCACTGGATAGACTTGTCTTTCCCATCACTTCTATATCCCACATGCACAGGACCTGTCCCTTCGCTAGTTTTTAATACCTTTTTGTTAAGGCAATGTGAGATAACCCAATGTTGACAAGAACTATGTGAAAAGATTTTGTTAATTAGTAAATTCAAGAGAAACTGAAGTTTCAGATCAACTGAAATTATCTGTGGTTAAAGGTGAATGGAGTGAAAAGTTTTAGCTGAAAGCTATCAAATATAGTAAATGTTTCTGTTGCAATGCTTTTATATGAAATAAGCACCATTTTTTTCATTTTGAAACAACACATTTCAAATGTACCTGCTATTTAAAAAAAGGTTTGGTTTAAGTTGAAAGAAATGTTTATTTCCCCACCCCCCCATCCTCCGCGCACACCATGCTTCAGTCACCAAAACTAAAAATCCATCATGTTCATAGGACCTCACCCCCCCCCCCCCCCCACAGCAACCACACCCACCCCCCCCCCCCCCCCCCCCCCCACACACACACACACAAAGAAATGACATCCCACCCACAGAATTACAGGGCAGAATTAAACCCAATTCTCAAAAGTGATTTTCAAGTATAAAAAAACAAAACAAAAAAACACCCTCTTTCCTGTGAAGTTTGAGAAGGGCTGCAACTCCATCTGAGGTGAAAACCTAAGTCACAAAGACTCCAAGTTACAGTCAGTGGCAGAGGTGGAGAGAGAGCTAACTTTACCTCTCATCTCTGCACCTCAACAGATTGAAGGGTATACACTTGAGTACATCAAGATTTGAGATCTTGAATAACTGTCTATATTTCTTTCTAAAGTACTTGTGCTTGTGTTTCAGACACATCATATACTGTATGTTGGTTATGTAGTCGTTAAGCCCCCCCAATCAGCAAAACACTGTAGGACTTTAAGCTTTGATCTGTGCTATGTTTGAAGAAGGATGATCCAGTGGCCAAAGGCTTGATAGACTGGTTCAATTCCGGCTACATTACAGGCTTCCTGAATGTGACATTGGGCAAGACGGTGAGACTCCCTGTGCTTCAGTTCCCCATTATAAAGTAAGGAAAATAGCCTAGCTACCCTCACAGGTGTTCTGTTATGATAAATACACTAAACATTGAGGTTGTCATATACCAGGTTAATGAGGACCATGCACATTCCTAAGACAGCTAGCTGCCTTTTTGAGAGCAAAGTCCTGGATATGTGGAATATGATCTATGGTCTGAGGTTCTTTTTTCCTCTTTAGAATGAAAACATTCGTGAAGAAGAATTGATATGAAGCCAGTCCAAAAGAGTAAAAGGCTTAAATACCCCAAAATACCACTAGTTTTACACTACATTATTGCATTCTTTTCAGATCTAGGGACAGTTCTCAAAGTTGTGAGTATTACCAAGGAGAAGTGGGTAAAGGAGGAAGTAGTCCTGGAAGAGCTGCAAATATTCAAGGTAAACTTTAACAGCCGTTTTAAATAGAGCCAGAGTTTAATATCCTTAATTTCAGCCTGTCAGACTATTTGCTTATTAAAACTAGTTTAGGTTCCAAATGGATGTTATATTTCATTTTAAGTCCTTTGATTTTTCAAAAAGCAATTCAACCAAAACCAGTCTGATTTTGTAAGTTTAATTGCGACTCACTGATTGTTGGTGTTTGTTGTCTCCATGCCATAGCTTCTGGAGTCACCTGGTTTCTTTTTACAACAGCTTTCTGGTTATCCTGTTTATGGAGAAAGAACTTGAAAATATGAACCGTAAAGTATCATAAAGCAGGAGACAAATAAAAACAAAGAGCTTAATATGTGTGTGTGTGTGTACAATCTCATGATAGGGGAGCAGACGTTAATTCATGAGTTTTGAGCGTTTGACAGTAGATACTTAGAAGAAAAGTCACTGACATTGAGCTAATTTATGTACATGGATTCCATATTAATAGAGTCTTACACTGAGCCAAATTTTGCTCACTGTTACACCAAAACAAATGCTGATTAATAGTGCTAATTGCTTTGGAGATGTTCTGGATTTACACCAGTGTAGCTGGGAACAGAACGGCTGAAGGCCAGTTGATTTTTGGATTTAATTGTTTCTTTCTTATTCTTTTTTTTTTCCAGTCTCCCTCAGTTCCCCTGTTATTCTGTGAGGTTCCCCTACTCTTATGTTTGTCATTTCTGGTCTGCTCTCTCCCTACCACCTCATCTTTGTTTTTGTTCTCTTTCCTAGCTGTAGTGAAAACTCACAAGTATGAGGATCTTAATCAAAGTTTTAACCCAAAATAATTGAGTGAGTTTGAAACAGGGCACCACAAGTTCACCCAGCACACTCTGTACAAATACGTTTACAGAGTAAATCACTCCGCATGCCTTTGGATGCCTCATCTATATGATGAGAACATTCTTGATTTAAAGGTTCTCCATGTCATCTTTCTGCTGCCATGGACACCAATTATAAATATCACTTTGAAAATACCAAGATTGCTCAATGGGCTGCCAAGTAATCAGGAGGTTCAGTACGTGCACCAATTTACTGCATTCTTAAAATGTAACGTCAAGGGCAAATGTGCCATATCATATTTAAAACCAAAGGGTTGGGTTCTTTTTCTCTGCTTAGCAGACTTCCCTCCACTTCAGAAATGTTATCTCTATACTCTTTAAGAAAATACAGAAAATTGAAGGAGGAAGGATGACTGCAAAGCATTCTTTCCCCCCTCTCCCACCCTCCCCAGGCAATCAAAATTAAACAATAGGCTTAGACATATCTTATTCTAGTAGATGTTAGGTGATACAGGAGAATAGGAATTGGCAAAGCTTTCCTTGATTTCAATAAAAGCAAAATTCATTGGATGCAGAAGAGCAGCTTGTATCCCTCAAGTCTCGTTTAAGCCTTCAGAAAAGTGTTTAATAGGAACTAAAGTTGATACATAGACCCAATGCTGCCCTCCCTCCCCCCTCCACCCCAACAGGGCAAATTGCAATCTGTATGAATAAAAACCAATTTGCTTGGAAATAACAAGGAATATTTACCCATGTGTATTTTTGGGACCAGGTATTTGATTATTTCTGATCTTTTTTTTTCATACCTACCTAAACTAAGCTGATTTGCAGTTTTATTTATTATGTTGTCAGAGAGATGTTCAGATCTTTTTTCTTTTTAGTTTTGATAGAAATAAGCATACATGAATAGCTTTACTGACACTTATATATTCATTTTTCAGCATCCATCAGTTATCTCAACTATGGAGCTTTCCCTGAAGCAGGTAATTTGCCACGTTGTTTAATTAACAATTGTAAGTTTAGGGTTTTCTGAGTGTCTAGCTTGTTGCAGGTGACATCTATTGCCTGCTGGCTGTGCTTTTAAAAGCTTTGTCAACATTAGCTGTATATGGGGAAATATATATATGAAACCTAGTTTGCTTGCACAGTTCACATTTGCCTGCAAACAGTAGTTTGTGTTCCCAAACTGGTAATTTATTCATGGAAACAAAATCTTTAGTCATATGCATGTGGGATTTGTGAATGAAGTTGATACATACACAACCACAATAAAAGTTTGCCTCAGTATAATTTATCAGCCTAACAAGAAATTATCTTCATTTTATTATTGGCCATAATAGTCAAGAGATGTAATTGAGATCAGGGTCTCAGTGGGTTAGGTTCTTTACATGCATTGAGAGAGAGTCCATGTTCTTTGTGCTTACAGTCTGTATAGGCAGGTCATGCAAAGAATGGGAGAAAGGGCATATTATCACCATTTTACATACGGGAGCTGAGGCACAAAGGTGTACCAATTTTCATGGTGTATAAGTCGACATGGTGTATAAGTTGGCCCCATTTTTCTGATCCAGAAAGTTAGGAATTTCATAGATCCAGTGTATAAGTCAACCTAACTTTTTGGATCAGAAATCTGGGGTCAACTTATACCAGCTGCTGCACACCCTTACTGCAGGCTGGGCACCCTCACTGTGGGCAGACACTGGGGTACACATGTGTCAGCACTACTTGCAGGGGATGGGGACAGGCTCAGCACACGGCTGGCATGGCCCCATCCCCTGCAAGCAGCTCTATGCCAGCCGAGCACCGAGCATGGTGCTGCTCACAGGGGATGGGGCTACGTCAGCTGAGCAGTGAGCCTGGCCCTGCCTGCTGCAAGTGGATCTGCCAAATGCTGATCCCAGCCCCGTCCCATTCAAGCATTGCTGGGCTTAGTGCTTGGCAGGTGCAACCGGGTGCAGTGCTCAGCAGTGCCGCCCACAGTGGACAGGGCCGGGCTCAGTGCTTGGCTGGCTCGGCACAGGCAGCCCTACTTGCTGGGATGGGGCCATGCCGAGTGCCGAACTTAGCCCTATCCCCGTCCCCATCACCCTCCCCTACAAGCATCTTTAGACTCGGCACTCAGCTGGCACACCCCCATCCCCTGTGAGCAACACTGCCTAGTCCATGCCAGCTGAGCACTAGCCTGATGCTGCTTTCAAGGGACGCTGATATGGTGTATAAGTCAAGGTTGAATTTTAAGAGTTAAAAATTGGACTTCAAAACTCGACTTATACACCATGAAATACAGTAATATTATTTGCCCAAGTTAACCCAAATGTCCTGATTATTAATCTGGTGTATTAACATCAAAACCATCCTTCTTATCAAATTATTAAAACACAAGTTGCCCTCTCTGGGACTTGCTGCTAATTTTGGATACTCTCCATTTATATTAACAGTTATAGTCCTTTTTGTACCATAACCCTCTTCTGCCATCATGTTTCCTGGAATTGATGGAAACTTGCCAGCGCACGGAGTGTCCTGAGAAACATTTTACACTGAATGAGAAATTCTCTTTCGTTCTGTAAAATCTGGGGCAAAGTTGAAAGCCATCAACTGTGGTATTGAAGCAAGGAACATTTAAAAGAATTGCTTAAAAGTTGCTCCTAATTCATTTGCTTTGCCTACTTTGCAGCAACAATTGTACATTGGTTCCAAAGATGGATTGGTTCAGCTCTCGTTGCACAGATGTCACACATATGGGAAGGCTTGTGCAGACTGCTGCCTGGCCAGAGACCCATACTGCGCTTGGGATGGAAACTCATGTTCCAGATATGCACCCACTTCTAAAAGGTAAGAAAATGGACAGCGTTTCTATGAAATATCTGCCCACTCATATATTTCCCATTGAGAGCAATGGAAGCACTTTTGCATGTTTGTAACATGTCATGTAACTAAAATGAAGACATAACTTTGGCCGGGTATTCTACTTCTGCTGGGAGAGCTTAGAGGACACTGCACCATTTAATCATGTGAAGTTATAATGGTGGAACTGCAACTAGTGTAACCAATCCATTGTTTTATATGCGACATTCTTTGAGATACAGATTGTAGCTGGTTTAATATAAGTGTACAAAGGGAGTAATGCAGACAGCTTTGTGCACTTCTGTTCATGCACTGAGGCTAAACTCATGTGGAGTTTAATGTGAGGCAGAATGTGTCTGCTTTAAGCTAAATGGCCCAGAAATCATAGCCCAAGGACATCATCATTCAGTAATCACTCTATGCAGGTCAACCACTGCAAGGAGACAGGGAGCTGCATTATGGTTATGTAAGTGCCATGTTGACTGCCGGTGACTGCATTTGCCTCCCCAAAGGAAAAGGAGTTGAGGTGTGAACTCATTCTAACCACCAGCTAGCAGAATTGAGCCAGCACGGAGGGGATGTCTACTGTACCCCCTGTACAAGGGTGGCCGAATTTCTGATGTGGCATTAGATGCCCCTCTTGGAACGCCCAAATTCTTGGAGTCACTCATACTGGATCTCTTCCTTCTCCTTTAGATGATCCTACAGGAAACACTCGCAACAAGGTCCAAGGTTGAAGTCCTTATAGGCAGCTGAATGAGAATTTTTCTTGCCTAGAGATTTCAGGACTAGGGCCTAAACAATTGCACAAACTATTGTAGTACGTGAGTCATGGGTCATTGTGTCACACGTCAAGGAACTTTATATGTTTTACCTTAAGCCAAAGTAAACTAGAGCAAATTCGGAGAAACATAAAGGAAAAGAGAAAACTGTTAAGGGTCAGTAAAAAGTCAATCACCCAGGCAGCTTGTGGAGGGCAATCCTGTTCTTGTTCCTGTGAATGAGGATATGGGGAATGAGGGTTTATTCATTTAAAAAGATCCTCAGATTGATGGACAGGTCAACAGCATGGACAAATTTACCTTTTAACTGCTCTAAAGGGGAGGGAGAGCTGCTACTAGGTAGCATGTGTCAGCTGTTGCACCTGCATCCTCCTCGAGTGATATAAGTGAACTAAGTAGTCCTAACTTTGACCCTGAGGAAAGTCGCAGTGGTTTTGTTACATTTTCCTCTCTGTCGAATCATGCAGATTTAACAGTTGCATCATTACCACTTGTATCAGTGGTCTTTGATATCAAGGCCAGTGTTGTGTCTGTCTATGTACCATTGTTTTGTGAGAGCAAGGCTGAAGGAGGAGGACTTGGTGAGTGTCCTTGTGCCTCCTCCTATAGGGTAGTTACTCATGACTTGTTTCTTTCAGTTCAATCTAGTTATTTGGCATGGTGTGCTTCCAGCATATCTAATCTCTTTCTATGATGGACTCATGACATCAAGAGCCTACTTATGCTTTGCACTTTTGTAAGGTTTTACTCCTATCTGAGTTACTGTATGACCTTGAGGATGTAGCATCCTCTCTGTCTCTCAACTTCCCAATTCTGAAAAAATAAAATAATATATATATCCTCTTGAGATCTGCAAATGAAATACAGTAGAAAGCCAAGTATGATCAGTAGGATTTTAACAAAAGCAAGCCTGAGTCACAAAGAGGTAAATAATGTGTTTAAAGCTCCATAAGCATTTAAGAATAGTAAAGAAACCATGACTTCTGACTGAGGCCCTTACTCTGTTCATCTGTACATAAAGTTCCCATACCCATACTTTCTGGCTCCTGGCTAGAGCAAATTAAGATTCAAAGCAAACCATAAATTTTCCCCTTTGCTTATGTTGTGGTTGATTCTCTAGTCAACAATACACAGTGTTGAACCAGGTAGGAATGTGGTCTGCCGAACCTTTTCATGATATGGCACACTGAGTGTTTTGACCAAAGATAATCAGCCTTAAGACCTGCCATTGGACCTGACAGAGCTTGTAATGAAGATTTAGCCATTCTCTCTACCCCTAGATTGCTCTCGGCCTGTTCTAGGTAGATCTCCCTCTTCACAGTGGTTTCCTTAAATCACGGGCCTGTCTTTTTATGCCTATTTTACAAATCTCTCCCGGCCACATGCCGCTTTGAGGGCGAGGCTGGTTTTAGTTAGGGTTGTAATTGCCAGCAATAGGGTGGGAGCACTGCGGTCTCACATCTGCTGAGCTCCTCTGTAGTTTGTTGCTGAATTCCAGCAATTATGTCTGAAGTGTTACAAATTTTCATGCTCTTCCCATAGGAGAGCTAGGAGGCAAGATGTCAAATATGGAGACCCAGTTGCCCAGTGTTGGGATGCGGAAGACAGTAAGTACTTGCCCTTCTCTTTGTAACAGTGTGTGCTATCTGTCCATCTGTCTGTTTGTAAACACTTGTGGAATTAGGTCTCAGGAGAGATCAGGGCAGTTAATGCTTATGCAATTACAATCCCTAAACATTTACTCTACGTATAGCCCTTGTTCAGCAATTACACTCTCTGAGTCAAGGGAACTTGGAAGAAAAAAATAAAACAGACTCACTTATACATCCCACGGGAGAGAGACACATATAGAGGGGAATAATATGGCTGAGGAGACATGCACCTTCACCTCACCATGAGTATACGCAAGCACTGCCACTCCCTTGCAGAGTATTCGGGTAAAGGGGAAAACCAAGCAAGAAACCCCAAAGGAGGAAACAGGAAATACTCCTTCTTCCTCCCTGCCTCCCTACACACACTTGACAGAAGTCCCAAACCTCGGCTTCAGCTGCCAAAACCATCCTGTTTCCCCTTCTCTGCAGCTACTTAAACACTCCTGTTATTAACACGGACCTACACCCACCCCTGTCAAGAAACCCCCCTCTTTTGGCTGCCAAAGTGTCTGGCTCACACTTTTGGCAAGGACAGCAGTTCACTTACAGTGTGCACTGTCAGTACTAAATCCTGTGGTTACACTGCAATTTCTGTGGCAGCATAAAATAAATGAAAAGCATTCAAAGTGGAGTTTTGGTTTGTCTGGGGCTTTTACATTCAGTTATTAAAGGGAACCATCCAGTCAAAACACCATTTATTGTATTGTTGAGCTTCGCTTCGGATTTGGTACACACCGCCGCTTTGGGTTGATCTCTGGTAGCCAGCACGGGAAACCAGCCACCAAAGTCAGCTTGAGTCACAGCAAGGATCAGGCCTGCTTGACCCTGGCTCAGTCTGCTGCATGGTCTGTGAAGCACTGGCTAGGCACACCCACAGCAGACATCATTAAAAAGTCAGGGCAGAATCGTGGTTTCATTGAAATGAGTAGCAAAGCTCCAGATGATTTCAGTGCGGCCACGATTTCATCCTTGACTTCAAACAGTGATGGTGTTGTGTTTCCCTGGATGGCAGATGATGTACCAAAGGGACTGTTTTAACTGAACAAATCTAAGACTACTTACAGAGTGCACGGATATGGACTTGAAAGCCTTGATATGGCAGCAAAAATAAAACATAGAGCCAGCTTAAGCAACTAGCTAGGGATTATCCAGACTTACGTGGTCTTAAACTAATATCCCAGCCCCTGGCATATTAATATTATTCATAATAAATAAACATTCTGTTATGGTATGAGACACTGTTAAGATTGAGGCCTCAATGTTGTACGTGTTGGACCAACATAGCATCAGAGGTGATTTGTGCTTGAAGATCTTACAGTCTGCACAAGTAAGATGGGCAAGGTTGAGAAGAGGAGGACAGACAGAGAGAGAGAGGTCACACAGCAAGTCTCTTCACATACAGTTCAGTGCCTTATCTGGTGTATCCTTGTGTCCCAGAAACCACTGTTAGTTATGTGTTGAGGAATATATTTTAACGTCAACCTGATGCTGCTGTAAAAGTGTTCAGGAGCCTAACAGGTCAGGGCACGATAAACTTCTGCACAGCTGCTGCCTTTCTGTTGTGGTCTCTTTTTTTACTGACAAAGGGCCCATTCCCATTTTCAGAGGGAAAG